ATATATAAGTAGTTAAATCTAAAGGCAAAAACTTCAAATACGTGCAGTAGAGAATTCACTACAGAAAAATTTTGATTTGTTTTATTTATGTTTTGTTAAAATTCAAAGCTGACTGATAATGATTTGCTTCCAGACAGCAGAGCATAAATACATAAATATCCCATGATTCCTTGCTCTTAGTGAAGGAACTGTTGCTGTGAGAAACAAAAACAGAAAAAAAAAAGACAAAAACAGGACTCGACTGAACGAATATACAGCATCACCTGTAAATGACTACATTTTGGAGCCCTGAAAAAACAAAACAAAACAATCATTCATTAATAAGTTACAAAAACTAAAATGTGCTGACCTGTAAACAAATAGGTGACAAATCTCTGATTTAACTAAAACAAAATGTTTGATTTAAAATATTTACAGCCATAAAACATGATCAACAGTTTTTATTTTATTTCTAACTTTTAACTAATGGTTACTGCCTGCCGCCAAAGATGATAAAGTAATCTGACTTTTAGCAAAATATCTCATGAACCACTGGATGGATTTCAAGGAAACCTTCAGAAAATAATCATTCCTGAAACTTTCAGGAAAAGAATTCTGGACGTTCATCTGGAGCTGATTGATTTATGGCGTTAACTCTATTTAAGAYGGCCACCACAGCTAAGTGCTTGTAGAAACATTATTGTCTCTAACTCAGTTAGTTTTACACGTTGAGCTAAACTTTCTCATGGCAGCAGCTAAGATACTTATAACGTGCGTTCTGAGTGTGACATCTTGCAGTGTTGCATGAGACTGTGTTTAATATTGTTTTTAGTTTGAAACTCTGGCAGGAATGGCAGCAGGCAATATGCATCCCTTCAAGAATTTTAGCCTTTTTACTTTCCCGAAGACTAAAAAATGTTTGGAAACAGTACGTTAAAGAACGAATAAAAAAGAACAAAAAAAGGTATAAAGGCAAACTGCTGGTTTGAGAAAAAAAAAGTTAATAAAATATAACCCTGGCAGTATGTTGAAAATGAAGGGGAAAGAAGGAGCCACTGGGAACATGTGACCATTTCTGTAGAGTTTTAGATGCGGAGGAGGTGAGGGACTAGGATTCTGAGGAGGTTCGGGAGCCACCATTGATGAGAGACTTGTAGACGTTGGAGGAGATGAACCGTGGGTAGGAGTCTCTGTGCATCAGTGTGTAGATCTGTAACTGGGCATCTTCAAACATGTGTGGTGTCGGATCCCGCATCTTTTTATTAATCACTTCTCGAACCCGGGCATCCAGACTCACCTGAAAGGAAACAGACAGACAGACGACTTTTTGAGAAACTAAACTGTAATGAACCAGTTCCAGGGGTGTCAAACGCATTTTCACCAAGGGCCCCATGAGCAATGTGGTGTAATTAACTTCAACATTGTTTAACTAAGCAGGAAACATCATGTACCTTGTTTCATTGCTATGGCTGAGAACCGCTAACAAACACTGAGCTCTACCTGGTATTTCCTGCATAGAAACAATGTTTTAACACGTCCTCTTATAAACACTAAAAAGTACTATGTGTACAACTGACTAAATGTGAAATAAATAATATCAAAATACTATTAAAGGCACAGTGTGTTGGATTTGTTGTTTTCAGCGACATCTAGTGGTTGAATCATCCTCCCTGGTCCTTCCCCCACCCCCACCCCCCGCTTCCAAACACTAAGGAGTTGCTACGGTGTCTCTCAGGTGTCAAAAACCTTTGATAATTCCAACTGCGATGTCTACCAGCAGCTTCAGGGCTAGTGATGTTTCAAGTGGTAAGATTATGAGCTTTAATAAGTAAAATKATCCCAGCTACAATGACAGACAACAAATATTACATTTATAGTATTACAACTAAAACCGTTTTTGACGCCGCCACCGCAGTTTGTCCTTCATGAGCCTTCGTAGACAAGATGGCGGTGCAAGATGGTGGCTGCCTGTAGTGGCGACCTGCGACCATGGAGATATAAACAGCTTTTTATAAGGTAAAAATAATAAAACAAGGTCTTTGTCCGCAATGATTAGACATGTGCTTTATTATTGTCATTAGTGATTATCTCAATTTCGGCTAAAAGAATTGACAAAATCCTACACATTGTGCCTTTAAAAGTCAAAGTAAGTGAGTTTTAACCACTGTTAAATTGTGTTGAATTGCTACATTCTTAAATTTGGAACTCTCCCACTTTCAGATAGGGAATTCCCACTGGAGGGGTGTTTCAGTTTAAATTTATGACTTGTAAGTGGGAAGTTCCCACATTCCAGTAMAACTGGGTTGCAGCAAAAGTAGCCTGCAAAAAAGGAAGTAAATGGAGATTTTACACAGCAGTATTTGCTGACTACTTTTGAATCCAGAGAATAGTCAGTGCTACCATTAAAGCAACACACCTCTGAAGTTCTTGCAGGCCACATAAATTGCCAAAGAAGGCCACATTTGGCCCATGGGCCTTGAGTCTGACACATGTCCTCTAGGGCTTTTTAAACCATGGTGCTGGGCTGTCTGGGTGTGGGTACATGTTTTTGCGGCCTGGTGGGGACAAGTTTTGACTCTCCTSCTCTGCCTCTCCACCTTTCTCTCATTCACTCACCTCCTCCACTACTTTAGCCTGGGTGAATCTGGTTTAATTTAATATGAAAGAGTTCGATTTGTTTCAGTCATTAAATATTACACGTGTCAAGCCGTGTTTTTCAACCCTGGTCCTCAATGCACACTGCCCTGCATGTTTTAGAGGTCTCCCTGCTTTGACACACCTGATTCAGATGACTGCAGTTCAACAAAAGCCTGCTAATCAGTTATCAATTGAAATCGGCTGTGTTGAAGCAAGTAAACATCTAAAACATGCAGGGCAGTGTGCCTTGAGGACCAGGGTTGAAAAAAAACTGTGTCACGGTATAGATCACTATTATTTCTGTCTACCTCAGAACTTCAGAGAACTGCGTCACAGTAAACAGGGCTGTACGGTAACTTCTTTAGCTCATACTGGTGCTACAAAGGCTGCTGGGTTTGTAGCACAGAACAAAAAGTTGTTGCACCAATAGAAAATGTCTGTTACAATCTCTAAAACCAAAAGTATGAACTGTGAGTATTGTTGTAGGACAGGGGTCACTGATCTTTTTGAGACATACGTAGGTACAGAGTCAGACAAAGAGCTACTTGTTTCATACAAAGATACATTTACACGACTCACCTTCAGTTAAAATAGTAATAAATGTACATATATGTGAATATTTGACTGCCTGATTACATCTTAATGACATGTCCAGGTGTCCCCTGCCTTCACCCACAGGCAGCTGAGACAGGCTCCAGCCCCCACCCTGAGCCTGATTAGGAACCAGGACAGAATGGATGGAGGATTTTTCTTTATAGCAGGAAACAGAAATTTATTTATAAAACATTATTTATTTTATTCTAATCTGAAACAGTTTTATGTGAAATTCAGTGTATTTTGTGAATATATTTGACAGTTTTGTAGGAATGAACACATTTGTAATGTTTATTCAAAATAAACCTGCTTTTTTATTACTTCTGTAACATGTTTTAAAGAATCTATTATCAGTAAAAATCCTCAAATCATGTCCTGTTTCTAAAAATCGTCTGTCATAGTCTGTCTCTCTTGTCTCTGTCTCCCTCTGGTGTTTGCGTTACGCCACAATCAATTGCATGTAGAGGTAACCCTGCATGCAGTAACTCAGTGAAAAAGTTCAGCTGTTTTTACTTTCTTTGTTTATAGCATCAATCTTGGTAGTTTATTAGTTTATTTGGATTTACAGTCTATCACCTGCCACCAAACACTTATGTCATGTCTGTGTGTCTTATTTTGTCTGTCTGTTAGGAAAGTATCAAAAAAAAAAA